CGAGTCCTGAGGGACACCGTAATTCAGTACTTAATGGGGCGGTGTGGCGGTAAAATTGACTACAGTAATTCCAATATTATAAATTAATTTTATTGGAATTAGCTAATTTTACCGCCACACCACCCCGTTAAGTACTGTACTGCGGTGTCCCTCAGGACTCATTTAGTTTAAAACTCGGGTTGAAACACGACGACCCTCTTCAAGGGAAGATGTTTAATAATACGGGCGTTAATCCCCAATTAGACCAACCTACTTCTGCTAAGAAAAATAGATTATTGGATATTCTAGAAAATGAGGCAGTAGGAAAATTACAAGAACCTCTACCTAGTCAGTCCGATTTTAGTGGGTTCCAGGATCAGGATCAGACAGTTGGCTCTAATCATATTGTTCAGTTACTAGAGCAGGGAGAACCTGTTGAGACTGACTACATCCTGTCCCCATTTTGGCAACCACTTCCACCTGGGGCAAAAGTGTTGGTTACTATGAGTGGAAACAGGCTGTTGACTGCCATGCAGATGATGGATGACATTGAGTGTTAGGATGATCCAAACAGGCCTTGGGTAACATTGCTAAGATCGAAGTCTTCTTTGTTTTCGACCACATCCGAGTCTGTGGATTCCTTATTCAAGGTATTTTATGAAAATATTTCTAAACCTCCTGATCTCTCAGCACTTACAAAGAGACAGGAAGGACAATCAACTGTGGGTCATCATTCATTGTGTTTAGAAGGTGATACTACAATTTCTTGGCCCTGATATTTGCCCCAAAATGATTTCTGAAATAGATGAAGTCTGGGCTATATTGAAAGACTCAACATTCATTCCTGCAGATAGGAATGCTCACAAGTTTAGTTTTCTGAAGTTTCAATTTAATGACAAAAAGAGTTCCTTATATGAACTTTCCCAGTATTTGACGGCTCCAAAATATGCTGATATAAGTTATGAAATAAATTTAAACCAGTTGCTTCTGCACTGTTGCTTGAAGAGTTCAAATTTAGGAAGTTGTCAGCAGATATTTGATCTGCAAATATGATGTGTCAGTTATTGACTAAGTTTGTGCTGGACTATAAGGACAGTTCAGAAGTAGACACATGTTTTGCTGTTGCTATACAAGGGATTCCATATTCTGTAAACTCATTTTTGGAAATGTTGTTGAAAACCCTAAAACTAAAAGCCCCGCTAATGAAGCAAGCCACTAATAGTGCTTCAAGTGGTAGTGCTTATTTATTGCTACGTTCTTCACCTCTTTCTCCTGCCTTGTTTGATGAACAAACATTAGTTAAGTATAGATCAGCTGTTGAGGAAGCTATTAATATTACTGTTCCCAGGGGTCCTAAGACCTTTCGGAAATTTAAAAGAGGAAGGTCTAACAGGGGAACAGGACCAGCTGCTAGGAAACTTTAGAGGAGGAAACAATTCAAGACGTAGTAGGGGTGGCCATTTGTTCAGAAGTGGAAGGAGACCTTATTCCACCGCATCAGCAACCACTCCCTCCCAATGAAGACAGACAGCTGGGTCATCTAGGGGGTTGGGAAAACAGGTGGACTTCTTCCATATGGGCATACAAGACAATCAAAGGGGGCCTCACATGAACTTGGTTGAGGCACCCTCCCTTAGCATTACCAAAGAGGGGTCAGAAACCAACCCCCTTACTCACAGAATTTGTAATTCAACTGTTAAACAGAGGTGTGATAGAACTGTTGCAATCGGAGAAATGTTTCATGTCTCGCCTACTCCCAGTCCAAAAGAAAGGCAGTGACAAATTGAGGTGGATTTTAGATCTTTCCGTCCTGAACAAGTTCATTATCAAAACAGGTTTCAAGATGCTCACTTACGATCATCTGAAGCATCTACTTCCGCCAAATGCTTGGATCTCAAAAGTGGATCTCGAAGATGCCCATTATCACGTGCCTGTTGCTCCCAGGTACAGAAAGTTTGTAGTGTTCGCAGTGGGGGATGTAAGTTATCAATTCACGGTGATGCCCTGTTTATTCATTGATCAGTTGTCTAGGTGCAAAAGTAGCCATGTCGAGCTATCACGTATCAATTAATTTTAAAATAGAAATGATAAGGTAAAATGTTATAAGACAATGGTTTAGTAGTGCTGTTAATGTGTGTGCTGTGTAAGTGTCTTGGCATGTCACCTCACCACCTGACTCCTGAACAAACTCTTCATCAACGTCGTCAAATCCTACAGTGTGCTTGGCAAGCACGCACACGCATGCGCACGCATGCGCACACACACGCACACACACACGAATTAAGACAACAAGCATCCAGTGAGGGTCTTGTTGTGTGACTGCATGGAGGCAAATTAAAAGATCAGCTGTTGAGGAGCTTATCCAACGATGCATGTTACCACTCCTTTCCACTCCATCTCTCTAACCATCCACACTTTTCTGCTTTCATGTTTATTCAAGAAATCATCAGGTCATGAGACCCACTAATCCCCACCCAAGAAAGGGTGACCCGACCCGACATTCCATCAGACGGTCAGTATATGAGACCACTAATAACCCACCCTCAGGTCAGGTCCCCCCCAAAATATACTTTCATCTTTATTCAAGACATTTTAAGAAAATTCTCTCGATTTTCAATCTCGGAAAATTTGTTCCTAAAGCCAGAAATTTTTGGAAAATTTCGGCTTTGGAAAAAAATTTTCCAAGCAAATTTCAATTCCGTCTATCGGATATTTTTGGGTTTGAGGGATTCCGGCTAACGGAGATATTACTGCATAAAAAATTAACTGTCAAAGCTAAAGGTTCATAAGAGCCCTGGCCCTGACATGGTGCACCCCAGAGTGTGAAGAGAGTTGCGCAATGAGCTTGCTGAGCCCCTTAAGGTCCTGTTCTGTAGATGCCTGGATGAGCAAAAGGTCCCCAGCAATTGGAAATGGCTTATGTGAGTCCTGTGTTCAAGCACAGCCACTGCCATTCCATGAATAATTTATAGGCCAGTGAGTCTGACCAGCATAGTGTGCAAAGTATAAAAAGAGCAATATAAGAGATGCCATGATTGAACATCTGCAACGAAATGAATGATTGAAATGAGTGTCTTGTGATTCCTGGGCCGAGCGGGGATATTTCCAACCATTCCCCACCTGTGAGCTATAGGTTGAGCTGGAGTTATTTTCAACTTGTTATTTCAGGTAGATACGTATAATTTTCTTCTTCTTTTTTACAGTACAGTATGTGCACACATAATCCTGCATACATAAAATCGGTTTACATCCATGAAGTTATGTAGTGAGTGTGTGGAGAGGTCTGAGGGTCTGCAGCGGGAGCCCCGTTGATAATGCTTTCAGTATTAGTACCGTACTATTTAGATGTTTTTTTATTGCTGATTATGTGCCTACAAATTTTTGTTTCAATATTACAGTGTACAGTTAAAGTTACTTTTAGAGGTGAATCTAGTGATCTGAACAGAGGCTTCACAACCAGTTACAGAGAGTTCACCCTACATTTTAGGCCTAGTACTCAAAATTCTGGAAAAACACCTATCCAGCAACCCCCAGGTCCCAAGCATGCTAGATAAATATATGAGAGAGAGAGAGAGAGAGAGAGAGAGAGAGAGAGAGAGAGAGAGAGAGAGAGAGAGAGAGAGAGAGAGAGAGAGAGAGAGAGAGAGAGAGAGAGAGAGAGAGAGAGAGAGAGAGAGAGAGAGAGAGAGAGAGAGAGAGAGAGAGAGAGAGAGAGAGAGAGAGAGAGAGAGAGAGAGAGAGAGAGAGAGAGAGAGAGAGAGAGAGAGAGAGAGAGAGAGAGAGAGAGAGAGAGAGAGAGAGAGAGAGAGAGAGAGAGAGAGAGAGAGAGAGAGAGAGAGAGAGAGAGAGAGAGAGAGAGAGAGAGAGAGAGAGAGAGAGAGAGAGAGAGAGAGAGAGAGAGAGAGAGAGAGAGAGAGAGAGAGAGAGAGAGAGAGAGAGAGAGAGAGAGAGAGAGAGAGAGAGAGAGAGAGAGAGAGAGAGAGAGAGAGAGAGAGAGAGAGAGAGAGAGAGAGAGAGAGAGAGAGAGAGAGAGAGAGAGAGAGAGAGAGAGAGAGAGAGAGAGAGAGAGAGAGAGAGAGAGAGAGAGAGAGAGAGAGAGAGAGAGAGAGAGAGAGAGAGAGAGAGAGAGAGAGAGAGAGAGAGAGAGAGAGAGAGAGAGAGAGAGAGAGAGAGAGAGAGAGAGAGAGAGAGAGAGAGAGAGAGAGAGAGAGAGAGAGAGAGAGAGAGAGAGGAGAGAGAGAGAGAGAGAGAGAGAGAGAGAGAGAGAGAGAGAGAGAGAGAGAGAGAGAGAGAGAGAGAGAGAGAGAGAGAGAGTAGAATTTAATGAGAAGTGGAACTTTTCTAAGTGTGAAAACAAACTGCATGCAATGCCTACTCACACAATAGACAAAATGATCACATATCTCCAACTGATTATAATCCACATAATTTTGTTTAGTACAGTATACTCAGTGTAGTAGTGAGTGGGCTGAACAACATTCATATATCATTTAAGACTTTTAAGTGTTTATTTCTTTATAAAGAGGAAGATTTTGCTAGGTGGTAACATATGCTTTTGAGATGCAGAAATGCAACCCCTTATTTCCCATTGGAACTTAAGTTTGATAGCACAAATTGGATATAAACCATGTTTCCTCATAATGTAACCCCATCATAAACTGAAGGCTTGCTATACGAAACTTCTGCTTGATTTAATAGAAATAAAATTTTTCAGTTGTTAGCACAAAGTGTTTTTAATTGTATGCAGAGATGAATGTACTGTATTCAGAACAATGGTACGCAAATCAGCATATGTAGCAAATGAAGAATACACCTTAAGAACACTTTCCTAATTTTTAAATGAAAGTAAATAGTTGATTAGTAATATAGGAGACAATCATTCCAACACTATGGGAGTACTGGGACACAACTCCATAGTAAATCTGATCAACTCTCCCCAAAAATGCCAAAGTAACTTTTCTCACCTCAAAGTATTTTCTGTACCAACTTTTCTGCTATGAAGATACAGTAGGTGAAACATGAAAACATTGATTATTTTAAAGAAAAACAAAAACAAATAACATCCTGTTTAGTCTGAAAAATTCTTGAATTAATTGTAGATCCTGAAAGTGTTTTGTGTAATATATCAATACAGTACAGTACAGTATATTAACTGCTTCAACATAATAGTTTTCCAAGAGAGTAAGCAAAATAATCACTGACCTTCTATTGTTCTGGACAATATCCATGTAGTCAATGGATCGAGCATAGAACCCCTCAGCATTTATTGCACCCCAAAAGGTGGACCAAGCCTGGCCCTCACGGATCACTACAGCAGCAAGGACAGGTCTGAAAGAAAAAGAAAATATGTATACTGTATAACTTATCCCAAATTCATGACTTTTGCTCTTTCTGTAATTCCTAGTAATTTGTGACAATTCTCCTTAACGGGTTTTTCATTTTTTGTTTCCAAAGAAGAAAAAGTACTTTAAATTATTCAGATAAAAAAACACAATACAGTATATCATTTTGCATATTTTAAGTGCAAAACCTGATAACTTCTAACCAGTCTAAACTTACACCCATCCTAAATGAAGAGGTTTGACGGAAACATATGTTATGCTGAGTGATGAGGGCATGAACCATTACAATGAAAACCTTCCCATCAACTTGATCAGGGATTTACTAAAACTACATAAAATAACAAACACTTGAAGATGACCTACCGAAACAAATATGGCAACCAAACATCACTCACCTTAATCCTTTAAAAATGATGGGGTAACTATGATATATAAAGTGTGGTATCATTCAATAATAAAACCATGCAGGATCACAACACAAAATACCATAAATAAACAATGCATATTCAGGTCATAAATACCAATGACAAACCAGTTCATTCTAAACACTTGTTCTACTATAAAAGAAATCATTAAAGCTAATGAGACCAACATAGAAGAATAAACATATGGAAAATTTGAAGATTGACAGGAATGTGAACTTTCTCTTAAAGTAAAGGTGAGTTTCGAGGCAAGAAAATTAATGAATCCAAGTTGACTGTTTTAACTGAAAAACCTGAATCCTCGTTAGCCTAAGAGCCAACTGTTAGTTTATGGAATCAAATGATCCAGAAGCAAATGGGAGCAACGGGCTGCTTGTAACAACTTTTCCAGTATGTAGCCTTATTCATGTTGATAGTGTAACCTGCCATTAAAATATATGCCCTCTCAGAAGGGCCCAGAAAAAGCATCGAGTAGTATTACTCTTCCAGGTCACTTACAATGAACAAAAGGTCACACCAAAAAATATAAATTTATTCATATATTCAGGTACTATGAATCCAAAAGAGCACTGAATTTCACCAACCTGTTATATTTCAAGAGAAGAGACAAGGTGTCTGGATTATCAAGGTGAACATCACCATCTATGCTGAAGAAAGCATCACAAGAGTTTCTTAAGCAAAGCTCTCTGGAAGAAAAATATATTACACCAATTAAAATAATGTATCTTGGCATCACTTATGTATCTTTATCTATAACTCAAGCATGGTGACAGGCAATATATATATATATATATATATATATATGCAAATAAATCACTGTGAGTCATGATCTAGGTATATGCTGATACAAGGAAAGAAAGAAAGCACGAAGTTCCCAAAGCGCTAGGTATACATTCACATCTTCAGGTGAGTACAGACTAGCTGTACTGGTCTGTACTCACCTATATATATATATATATATATATATATATATATATATATATATATATATATATATATATATATATATATATATATATATATATATATATATATATATTATATATATATATATATATATATATTATATATATATATATATATATATATATATATATATATATATATATATATATACACACACACACACACACACAGTAATACCCCGATTTACGCGTTCAATTGGACCCGCAGAGGTCCGCGTAAAACGAGAAACGCGTAAATGGAATAACAGAACATATGGGATTAATTGAAATAGAGACTGGGCCGACTCCCAAACTCCACTTTTTCCGACAAATACCTATATTGTAGTAAAACTAACCTCTTAATTTTATGATGGTATGCACATAAATAATATTTAAAAGAAATACAGTCGTCAGGTTAATGACCATTCAAATAATGGACTCAACTGCCGCCCCCCCCCCCTTTTCCCACGCTCCCTGGCTCCTCCCTCTCTGAGAAATGTTTGGGTGAAAACACTAGATTTTAAGGTACAGTAAAGTAATAAATAATACCTCAAACTAAAGTCAGGATAATATAATTGACATTGCTGGATTCCTTGCAAGACCAGGAATATTTTGAATATACACGTCATATATTTTGCACAAAAGATAACATATTTGCTCTGAGTAAACAAAATTCTTACATTAGATCTAAAATTTGTATGTCTAATGCAAAATCTATGATGTTTATATTCAAAATGATCATCATATTGTAAGAATTCCAGCAATGTAAATTATATTCTGACCGGGTAATTTGTATGAATTTTATGAGCTAAAACAAATATCTTCAGTAAATAAAAAAATATACTTCACCCAGACACTATCTGTCAATCAAAATACCCCACCTCCGGTTCACCCCCCCCCTCTTCCCACTCTGGCTGGGTCCCTCCCTCCCTCCCTCCCTACCCCTCACACCTACCTTCCCTCCCTACCAGAGAAATGTTTGGGTTAAAACAGTATATTTACGTTTTTAGTAATAAATAATACCTCAGACTAAAGTTAGGATAATATAATTGACATTGCTGGATTCCTTGCAAGACCAGGAATATTTTGAATATGCACGTGATATATTTTGCACAAAAGATAACATATTTGCTCTGAGTAAACAAAATTCTTACATTAGATCTAAAATTTCTATGTCTAATGCATAATCTATGATGTATATATTCAAAATGATCATCATATTGTAAGAATTCCAGCAATGTAAATTATATTCTGACCGGGTAATTTGTATGAATTTTATGAGCTAAATAAAAAAATTATACTTTACGCGGTTAATTCAACCCACGGCGGCCCGGGTAAAGTGAACAACATAACATATGGGATTAATTGAAATAGAGACCGGGCAGACCCCCAAACTCCACTTTTTCAGACACAATACCTACGTTGTAGTAAAAATAACTTCTTAATTTTATGATGGTATGCACACACAATTAATAATTAAGAGAAATATCAATAATATTAGGTTTTCTAACACTTACACTAGTAGAAAAGATGGCTGGGCACACGGGGATGGGGTTTGGTTCCGAGGCAGAGGGCAGATTATTGGCCCTCACCTGTATCACTTGTATCAATTGTATCACTATCCACCACAGAGGCTTGCAGGGCCTCTTTGTCAAACCCCTCAAAGTCCATTTAAGTCCATATCCTCACTATCATTATCACTATCACTGACTTGGGCCGGCTGTGGTGAGTGGCGGGTGAAGAACTCGGTAATGTTTTGATGACTGGCCGACCTTGTGCGCACCCTGCTCGCGCCGCTCTCCGTGTAAAAGGGTACACACACCGCGGAAAGTGAGCATTCCGGTTTCGGCAGGGTACCGCGTAAATGTGGAAACGCGTAAAGTGAAACCGCGTAAAGCGGGGGTTTAATGTATGTATGTATGTATGTATGTATATATATATATATATATATATATATATATATATATATATATATATATATATATATATATATATATATATATATATATATATATATATATATATATATATACATACATACAGTGGGGTATGCTATAACGAATGGATTCTACTACGAATATTCCTATAACGAACGGTTTTACCTATAAAATTGAGAATGCTATAACGAACGAAACTCCTACAACGAATTTTTTTTTTACTAATTGTTTTTTTTTATTACAAGTATTAATGATATTCTTTATTTCAGGGGTTTAGATGCATATTTATGCACTTTTTTACAATTTTTACAATTTTATATTATATTTTTCAGTGTTAAGTGGTTGTATTTGGGGTCCTGGAACGGATTAATCCTATAACGAACGAATGCTATAACGAACAAGGTTCTAGAACCAATTAGATTCGTTATAGCATACCCCACTGTATATATACACCTAGACCCCGACTTACGACTACGTGGACTTACGACCGTCGGGACTTACGACCGCCTCAGATATAGATAAATTTTTTTTTTTTTTTTTTAAATGACACACGCATTTTCTATACCGAAACGTTTCCAGTTAATGTAGTCTCCATGTATAATTAGAAAATTATGGGGGCCCCATGCATTCAGCTGACTACATTAAAGGTTAAGTGCTCAGTCACACTGTATCCATTCCTTATTATTTATTACTTTCACTGTACTGTATCCATTCATCATTATTCATTACTTTTACTGTACTGTATTTCATTGTAGATTTTTTATTAATTTTTTATTTTTATTTTTTTTTTATCTATGTCGGACTTACGACCATGTCGGACTTGCGACCTGGATTTGGGTCCCTAACCCCGTCGTAAGTCGGGGTCTAGGTGTATATATATGTGTGTGTGTGTATATATATATATATATATATATATATATATATATATATATATATATATATATATATATATATATATATATATATATATATATATATAAATCAACACCTCAACCAGCCAGGATTGAACACGACCCACAAGCCTATGACTGTGACGAGGGCAGCTAACACCACCAGGATACTAAAAGCAGTGGCGGGTTGAGGTGTTGATTGTATGTAGAAATCATGTGGGCTAATGAAATATATATATATATATATATATATATATATATATATATATATATATATATATATATATATATATATATATATATATATATATATATATATATATATATCTGATAACCACAAGAAAGAAAACACAAGTTCCCAAAGCTTTGTGTAATTCACATCTTCAAGGGTGAGTACAGACTAGTCTGTACTCACCCTGAACGAACCTATAGCATGTTTCTTTCGCACCTACAGTGATTACTTGCATATATATATATATATATATATATATATATATATATATATATATATATATATATATATATATATATATATATATATATATATATATATATATATATATATATATACAATATATATATATATATATATATATACTATATATATATATATACACGTATATATACTATATATATATATACGTCTATAACCTTAGTTTATAGATAGGCCTGATTTTTGACCAAGAAATGCGTTACGATATTCCTGGTTTATAGTTAGAATAGCGTTTTTTGGGGTAATGGAACAACGAAACCTTCACTAAAAGCGGCTCTCGTCCCTACTCTTCAAGGGCTACTTCGTGTCCTGGCTCGAGTGCGAGCAAATTGTTTACAGAATTATTATACATCTGACACTTTACAATGAAAGCGGGTAGTTTTAACAAAAAAAATATTGTATATTTCCATTCAAGTATTTAAATAAGTCAGTGGGAGGGAATATTATTGTAATACAGCAGTTTTTAACTAAACCATTCAGCGATTACGGTAACATCTTTTGAGCGAAGAAAGAAAGTCATTGTTTTTCGTCACGATTTTATCACTTTCCTATGTCGTCGTCATTTCAGCAAAAAATATTACATTTCCGTGAATGCATCGAAGCACATTATGAATAGAAATATTGTAGTATAACAATATTTTAGCAAAAAACTATTAAAAAAGCAGTAACTTCTCTTGGACATCGGAAGGTTAGGTAAATCTTTTGTTTAGAGTCATGCATTTATCTATTTTTACATTAAAATATATCCGCGTTTCAGCAAAACTACTATTTATTTCGAGAATACATTCATTCAGAGCACCAGTTAAGGCAAAATATACATGTAATGTAACGGTTTTTACTTTGAAAATGATTCGAAAAAACAAATGTACCGTCCTAGCTGATACAGCTGGTAATTAAGTCATCGTCGTTGTAAACAATAGGAGGTTAGTAGATTACGGTTATTATATTAAGTGTGAAATATCGAAAGGTTTTTATTGCGGTATTTTTGTAGATCAATGAGAACTTCAACGATGCATTATATGATATGATAAGTTAGCCTGTGCTAAGAACTTCAACATAGATTACTGAAAGCCGCGTTGTAGGTAATTTAGCCTATTTAATAAGTTGGTGAGCTACATTTGCTGAAGGAACTGCAGCTTTTTCGTACTAATTGGTACATATTTTCGTTTCCATTGTTTTACTGTTGATAAATGGTAAATATTTTCATGTCTGAAATATTGCTCTCGCCCTTCCCATCATGCAGGTTCAGCCCTATAAAACTATTACGCATATATAGGACTGACCCCCATTTTTTTGCCTAAAAAATTTGATCTTTAAAAACAAAGGAGCTATACTGCAGTATATATATCTTTAAAGCTCGAACTATACAGTATATATATATATATATATATATATATATATATATATATATATATATATATATATATATATATATATATATATATATATATATATATATATATATATATATAACATGCTAGGTTAATGTAACCCACAGGTGCAGAAAGAACAGCATAAAATGAATAACATATATGGGATTAAATGAAATAGAGACCAGCTGACCCCCAAACTCACTTCTTCCACAATACCTATGTTCTAGTAAAATAACTACATCTTGGTATTATGATACATCTTAAGAGAAATAGAGAAAGACATGGTGTCCATTAAATAATGAACGACTCCCTCCTCTTCTCACTACACTGCTGGCTCTTCCCTCTGAGATTGTGGGAAAACCAGGTATAGTAATAAATAATACCTCAAACTAAAGTTAGGATAATACAATTGACACTTGGATTCTTGTAAGACCAGGAATATTTTGAATATAAATGTCATATATTTTTCACAAAAGATAACATATTTACTCAGATTAAACATTTTATCTAAAATTTGTATGTCTAATGCAAAATATATGATGTTTATATTAAAATGATCACCAAATTGTAAAATTCAGCAATGTAAATTATATTCTGGCGGGTAATTTGTATGAATTTTATGAGCTAAAACAAATATCTTCAGTTAATAAAAAAAAATATTCTTCACGGCCTTCTGTCAATCAAAGTACCCCACCTTGCCTTCCCCTCTTCCAACTCCTTGCGGTCAGTCCCAACCCTCCCCCACCCCCCACCAATCCTCCCTTCAAGAAAGGTTGGGTGAAAAAAACAATTTTAACATTTTGTATAATAATACCTCAGATTAAAGTTAGGATAATATAATTGACATTGCTGGATTCCTTGTAAGACCAGGAATATTTTGAATATAAACGTCATATATTTTGCACAAACATAACATACTTACTCCAAGGTGAACATTTTATCTAAAAATTTTATGTCTAATGCAAAATATATGATGTTTATATTCAAATGATATCATCAATTGTAAATTCAGCAATGTAAATTATATTCTGCCGGAGTAATTTGTATGAATTTTATGAGCTAAAATAAAATCTTCAGTTAATAAAAAAAAAAATTTTTCACCACGGTAACAGATGGTCGGTCACGGTCCCTCCTCCCTCCCCCACCAACGTCCCTACTAGATAAATGTGTGGGAATACCAGACTGTTTACCTTTTTAGTAATAAATAATAAATCAGACTAAAGTTAGGATAATATAATTGACATTGCTGGATTCCTTGTATGACCAGGAATATTTTGAATATAAATATCATATATTTTGCACAAAAGATAACATATTTACTCAAGAGTAAACATTATATCTAAAATTTGTATGTCTAATGCAAAATCTATGATGTTTATATTCAAAATGATCATCAAATTGTAAGAATTCCAGCAATGTAAATTATATTCTGGCCAGATAATTTGTATGAATTTTATGAGCTAAATAAAAAAATTATACTTCACCGTGTAAAGGGGTACACCCACCGCGGAATGTGAGCATCCTGGGTTCTGGCAGGGCACCGCGTAAACGTGGAAACGCGGAATGTGGGACCGCGTAAAGTGAGGGTTGACTGTATATATCGTATTTTAGTAATTATTAGATGTTTTAATTGCCTGTATGTTGGCCTGGTGTGCTAATGCAAGGCATATACATATGCAGGTACAAAGCTAGACGTCACATTCTGGATTGAACAAAAAACAATATTTTGTCTGATGTTTCCATTTAAAACAAAATATACTATGTTCCTTAATTTAATTTTGCTGTTTTCATACTTCTTTTTACAGAGGAGTTGACATTGGCATCTCGGACCCTCTTGTAACAGACCTGGTAAATTTTCAAAGATAATTAAACTAAAACCAACATACAGTATTGTACTTTACTGTATTAACAGTGGGTAAATAAGAAGAAAATAAATACATGTAGTGTTTTAGTTATCATGGCTCACACGATCACTATGTGAGGCAGTGTTAAGACACTGACATAAAATACATTGACTGTGGAAACACTGATGTGTTTAGTTTTATAGTTTGATCTGATGTCAGTGGAAAGAAAAAATGTTAAATGGAAAAGTTCATAATTTCTTCTTCAAATAAAACCATAAAAAATTAAATTGTGAAAGCATTGCATCTCAAAATGTATGTACTACTGTACTAATAAATAGTATATGCATAGAGTGCAGTTCAGTGTACTTATTGTTGGTGTGACACTGCCAAATTAAAACCTTATGTCTTGGATGGGCCTCACAGTCTCAAACTGCATCATAACCAGTGGTGCAGTTTCTCAGTAGCTTCCCTGTACTTCACTGCATGTATTTCACTTATTTTGATTATTAATGGCTAATAATCATTGTGTACAACTGTACACCAAAACTTTTCATTATTATTTTTTTTTTAGCATTTTAAGAAGTTTTATGGAAGTTATTTCAGTTTTCATAGAAACATGTCTTAGGTTTTATGATGGGTGTTCCTGGGAAATATGTGATCTGATGAATGAAAAATATATTTACAAAAGGTTTTTCAGGAACAGAACCTTCAAGTTCTCATACATCAGGGCATCACAATTCAGTGTCATGCTGTATATACTGTATGCACTGTATTTAGGAAAAATATTGAATTGCTATGTAATATTTCCAACATAATCCTTCCCAACAGTACTTTATTTACACCCCGCATTGCCATACGGTGTACTTCCTATATCATATAACCTCCATCAGTTCAAATCATCCTGCTTTTTAAATTACTTCATCCCTACCTGGAGGTTTAGTCAGCTCTCCTATTATTACTTCATTATTCATGTACAACAGCACTACATACATTACATAAGTACAAGAATGGAAAATAAATGTAAGACACTGATGATGGTGATAATGACAAATGTAAGACACTGATGATGGTGATAATGACAATGATATAACAGAGCCAAGCATACCTTAACTTTAGCCTTAAGCCAGTCAGTCAGACTACTGCTCCTTTTCAGATGGGTTATTGTACACTAATACAGACAAGAAAACCTTACTCACACTGCTAGGTTTCGTGCATGCCATTCTTTCATGTTATCTTCAACGGATATAAATTTTATTGAGCGGTAGCCAGATGACTTTAGTTGTGCTACCCATGCCTTCACAAGCTCCTCATGTAACTCTGCCTGAAGATAAGAAAGTAATGTAAATAACATTTCTTAAAACTAATCAAAAGACAAAACTTTGGACTAAAGTATGAAATCTTATTTTATGGCCAAGATTAGAAGACAAGTGACTTATCAGAATACTTGCCCCAACAACCCACAGACACAACTTTACTTGTCCAGCAGACCATCTTCACTCTGAAGAAGGGATCACTGTCCATATGAATGTGTGTAAAACCAGCTTTAACAAACATTTCCCCTTTCAAATTAAAATCAAAGAAGAAAGCTAGGACCCTGATCCATGGTTGGTTCAAAAGCCAGCCTCAACCCTAAAGTAGTTCACTTGAATCCTTCTGTCTTAAGCTTGGGTCACATACATGAATCCCTACATTTTTCCTGATGATATGGACAACCATCAAGTGAAGACAAAGGAACTCTAGGCTACTAATCTCTTTCCTTAGGCCATAAAATAGAATTTCGCACTTCAGTCCTTAGATATGTTACCTACAGATCATTCATCAAAAGACATAACAGATTCCAAAACAGTCAGGAAAATATGGAGGAAGTCATTTGTTGCAAAAGCCATTTGAGGTTGAAAGTTTTCACATAACAACAAAGAGGACTAGTCATGGTCATTACTCATAGGAACACTGTCCTCCACACACCATGACCTACCTCACTGTCCTCCACACACCATGACCCACCTCACTGTCCTCCACACACCATGACCTACCGCACTGTCCTCCACACACCATGACCTACCTCACTGTCCTCCACACACCATGACCCACCTCACTGTCCTCCACACACCATGACCTACCGCACTGTCCTCCACACACCATGACCTACCTCACTGTCTTCCACACCATGACCTACCTCACTGTCTTCCCACACACATGACCCACCTCACTGTCTTCCCACACCACACCATGACCCACCTCACTGTCTTCCACACACCATGACCCACCTCACTGTCCTCCACACACCATGACCCACCTCACACCATGACCCACCTCACTGCCCACCCTCACTGTCTTCCACACACCATGACCTACCTCACTGTCTTCCCACACCATGACCTACCTCACTGTCTTCACACACCATGACCTACCTCACTGTCTTCCCACACACCATGACCTTCCCCTCACTGTCTTCCACACACACCATGCCTTCCTCACTGTCTTCCACACACCACCACACCACCATGACCTGCCTCACTGTCCTCCACACACCATGACCTACCTCACTGTCTTCCACACACCATGACCTTCCTCACTGTCTTCCACACTCTTTAACCTAACATCCTTAACATTAACAGGACAAAAACAAAGATATTTACCTGATTATGCACAAGTAAATCGATCCTGTGCTTTGGGTAATTAAGGCTGGTTACCTTGGCCAACATTTCCTCCAAGAATGGCACTGGATTTTCTACAAAAACTGCAATCAACACATGGGGATAGTCATCCACCTGCAAATATAATTACATATATCAATAGTACCTTACAAAAAAAAAAAAAAACATTCATACTGCATTAGCTTTTTTCTTGTCATGATGTAGGGTTGGTAGATAGGTGTTAGCTCCTGATTCTAAACATTCAACATCAAGTAAGGTACTGTACTCCAGGAATCTAGTCATCAAGAAGATCATTCCATCATCACCAAATTCACTTGATATTATATAAGGGCTCGTGCACATACAAACAAAAAACTTTGTTCGATAAGAAAATTAACAAGGCAGAACAGGCAACTGGCTGAGTATCTTGTGTTGGTGGAGATAAGTCTACTTGTACCAAGTGAGTTTGAGAAGTAAGTTATGTGGTGATTGTAGGAGAATGAAGACAGTGAAAGCCGATACAGTCAACCCTCACTTTACGCGGTTAATTCAACCCACAGGGTACTGCGGAAAGTGAGAAACTCGTAAAGTGAACAACATAACATATGGGATTAATTGAAATAGAGACGGGCCGACCCCCAAACTCCACTTTTTGACGACACACAACTATGTTGTAGTAAAAATATTATCTTAATTTTATGATGGTATGCACACACAATTAATAATTAAGAGAAATATCAATAATATTAGATTTTTTAACACTTACATTAGTAGAAAAGATGGCTGGGCACACGGGGATGGGGGGTTGGTTCCGAGGCAGAGGGCAGATTATTGGCCCTCACCTGTATCACTTGTATCAATTGTATCACTATCCACCACAGAGGCTTTCAGGGCCTCTTTGTCAAACCCCTCAAAGTCCATATAAGTCCATATCCTCACTATAATTATCACTATCACTGACTTGGGCCGGCTGTGGTGGGTGGCGGGTGAAGAACTCGGTAATGTCTTGATGACTGGGCGACCTTTTGCGCACCCTGCTCGCGCAGCTTACACAACATGGCGGATGGCGGGAGAGATGGCGGGAGGTTTGGATCCAAAAACGGCGCGGCTCGCCAGCCGCTCTCCGCGTAAAGGGGTACACGCACCGCGGAATGTGAGCATTCCGGTTTCGGCAGGGTACCGCGTAAATGTGGAAACGCGGAATGTGGGACCGTGTAAACGTGGAAACGCAGAATGTGGGACCGTGTAAAGCGAGGGTTGACTGTACTGTATTTAGACTTAATAACATTGCAAGTGTTAGAAAATAATGAAGTTAATAAAATAAGTAAGCTTATTGATAGAAAAAAAAATGCATTACAGTACTTTGGCATATATTCATGATTACTGTACTTAAAGAAATTATGAAAATAGCATAGAAATTTTTTTGTAATTTTGGATTTTTTGTTTGTAAATCAAATCAGGGAACAAGATTTATATTTTTGTAACTTCCCAAAGTTATTTGGCAAAGAGAACTGAGGAACCATCTGCTCTATGGAAATGTGGGGTCAGGACTGAATAGAGATTGATGACTGGAGCACCACTACAGATGACCCAAACAAAATGGTTGAGTGTGCATTAGCTGAAGTAGGCAGTAGGTAGTAGGCAGCTACCAAACAGGGAGGTACTACCGCCTGGGAAGATATTGGAAGCATAATGTGTTGTCTAATGGTAGACCCTGCTGCTATAAGGCATTGCAAAAATTGTGACCAAGTCCCAGGTTGCTGATCTGACTTTCTGCCTCATTTACACACAATTGCAGGGTCTCAATTGTTTCTCTTGCTATTGACAACACAACATACATATATCGTTTCTCACTAATGATCTTTTTTTTTATTTCTTTATGGTTCCTCATTATTATTATTATTATTATTATTATTATTATTATTATTATTATTGCAGTGTTTTCATTATTATTATTGTAATCATTATTATTTTATTTTTATTTTAGTATTTTTTATTATAAATTTTACTTATCTGAATTATTATTATTATTATTATTATTATTATTATTATTATTATTATTATTATTATTACGTTTTTGCCCCCCGGGCCCTGATGTGGGTCGGTGACCTGTGTCCGGGTGGGCTAATACCCGTAAAAAAAAAAATGCTCATCCTGGTCACCTCTCTCTATGGCTGCAGTAGGGGAGGTAGACTAATCCCATGATTAATCTCACCCACTATTGTCTAAAGGATTAGTGTTTGGCTTCAAAACTTGAGTTGCTATGTGAAGGCCATTTGGCTAAAAAAAAAAGTACAATAAAGTACACTGTACAGTATTGTGAAAACTACAGCTTACTCACAGACAAATTTTTCATGTCAATCAAATCTTCTTGGCAAGCAAGGCATCCACTAGCTTGTGTCCAAGATTTGGCAAGATAGTTCCCCAAAGAATTCAATTGGATTTTTGATGGTCCATTTCCATGTATGACCACTGGAGTTGACTGGTACACAGTGTTAATAATTTTTACATCATCATCTTCAAATTTCAGGGACACATCACCTGAGAAAAAGAAATATTACTAAATTAAACAAGAGTGCTCACTTACTCAGAGAGTTTAAATTAAATCCTTAAATAAAAAGTTCCTATAAATTATTTTTTAAATTTTACATAAAAGAATTGTCCATTACAAAAATGGCAGAATGGTATAATGACACCAGCCAGAACTCAACAAAGAATCTTTTAAACACTCAAAAGTCTGGACAATTTAAGGGAAAAGGAGGTCCAGACTTACCAATTGTCTGGACTTTTACCAAGTGGGGATTCTGGGGGCTACTGTGAACTGAGCAACCATTCATTAACCCCTCATGACCCTTCGCCCATAGAAAGTCAATTAATTTAACCTATGTTGTACCTAGATAGTTAAAGATTTTACACATTTTTTTTATTGGCGAAAACAATCCCAAAGCACCCCTAAAGTCACGCGGAAAAAGTGAAAAGAACACCCATAAGCACCTTACCTGGTTTAAAGGTCCCAGGCAGTTGGGCCTTGTCATGCATGCAGTGTTGCTCAAAGGAGCCAGCAAGTCTGCTACCACTTCCACACGTGATTTATTTATCAATATAATTATATAATTAGCTCTACAGTATATATATATACTATGTACACTGGAAACACAAAGCTGCATGTCAGATATTGTTGGCAAAAACAATCCCAAAGCACCCCTAAAGTCACTCGAAAACAGTGAAAAGAACACCTATAAGCTCCTTACCTGGTTTAAAGGTCCCAGGCAGTTGGGCCTTGTCATGCATGCAGTGTTGTTCAGAGGTGCCAGCATGTCTGCTACCATTTCCACATCCTTACGTTATTTATTTATCAATATAATTATATTATTAGTTCTACAGTATATATATACTATGTACACTGGAAACACAAAGTTGCATGTCAGATAGCGTCCTGAAAGTTTTCACAGGGAGATGTGGCAACACCGCAAAGTGGAAGGCAAGAACACGACGTTCCTCCCTTCACCACATACACACACTCCGCCTCATATCTGTATTTGTGGTCTAACACTTATCTATTTATAGCCACAGAGTTGCCAAGTCATATAAATTGAGTTATTCTACTGATCTGGACCCATAGGAGCCTTTAGCAAAGCCTATAGAACCCTAGCTTAACACTCTTGGGGTTTTCATACATAAAATTGTGGATAACATAAATTATCGTGTTAGGGTTTTTATACACAAATACTGTATGCGTATGAAGTAAAAAATTAAAATTAAATAATTTTATGCTTGCATGTGAATGCTAGATACGCAACACGCACATTTGACAATGTTGGCATAATCTGGCAATTACGTAAACTGCCCTCCAAGATTAAGTTACCAAAACAGTCTCTCTTTGTGATTCAACAGCAAAGGACATAACCTTGACCCACATTTCCCATGCATTTTCTAGTGGCTTGCGGTGATTTCTTGTTCATCACAGTGATTTAGTTTATTCATATTAGTGTTGTGAGAGTTTTGAACCATGCCTCGTGTTGCTGGCGAGGACGGAGGGACGGGAAAACGTAAAAAGTACAAGAAAGTTGCACCAAGTGGCGATAGTGTGGTGCCTCCTGATGCCTTCTACTCGCCCTTATGTATAGAAATACTGTAATTACATTATCGTGATTACTTGTACGGTACCGTATATCTCGGCCTATAAGACGGAATTTGAACCATAAAAAAATCAGCCCAAAGTTAGGGGGTCGTCTTAAGCACCAGATATAAAATTTTTACCTCTTAAATATTGCGGTTTAGTGTGTCAAGAGTGGTGATGGAAACATGGTAAACCACTCACAAGGTCCTACCACTAATTATATTATACTGAAACTTACATTTGGGAAGCTGGATTAAAATGAAGATTACCGGTATATTAAAATAATAAAAATGTATTATAAACCTGTCTAACATACCGTAAAAGAACAATATACCCCGGTAATAAACACAGCTGCTATCATCACCCCCCCCCCACCCCCATTTGCCAGTGACAAGAAAGGGGAAGTGACCTTGACTGTGTCCGCCTGTGGCTATTTTTAGCCGTCCTTGTGTTCGGAGGTTGTCAGTAATGCATATCTATATATTTACCGATCATAATACTTATCTCCTATAAATAATTCATTTAAAATTTATTTTTTTACAAAGAATATTCAGTAAATGACTGCGTTAATTCTTGAAACTACCGACAGTGGTAAATTTAGGATATAAATGATGAACATAAGTCACGTCATGGATTCGGAGTTTGGTCCTTAATGATCACCATAAATGTCTGGTCAACTTCACCTACCAGGTATAATGGTAGCCTCCCTTTTTTGCAAAACAAGTTTATAATTAAAGAAAATACTTGCAGTGTGTTTTATATATTACAGTATATTATAAATAAATAAATAAACAAATAAATTGGTAAATCTATTTCAAGTAAATGGAAATATTTTACTCACACCGACATTAGTTCCAGTTAAATAACTGACGCTTAAGTGAGTCACTAGTGTACACCAGCCGGTAAAACTTGATGCCAATACTTTAAGTGAATTGGCCTTATTTTAAATAACCAACCATAAATAAATGCAAAAAGGAAAAAGATCAAAGGTGAGAAACATTATATTGTATGTATGTTGTGTTGTCAAAGGAAGAGAAACAATTGAAACTCTGCAATTGTGTGTAAATGAGGCAGAAAGATAGATCAGCAACCTAAGACTTGGTCACAATTTTCGTGATGCCATATGGAAGTAGGATATACCATTAGACAATACTGTACATTATGCTTCCAATATCTTCCCAGGCGGTAGTATCTCCTTGTTTGGTAGCTGCCTAAAATTTTAGTCATATTACTTTGATACAACATGATAAATTAGACAAACAATGAAAATAAACAAACAAAAGTTATTTACCAAGACCTTCTCTCTGAGAACAGAGGGTAAGAGATGGAGGGGAGATAAGACGGCTATTTATAGCCCGTCTTTGTGTAGGAAGTCGACTACACTATAAATAATTAATTTAAAATTTGTATTTTTTACATAGAATATTCGGTACATGACTGCGAATATAAAATATTGTGAATATATATATATATATATATATATATATATATATATATATATATATATATATATATATATATATATATATATATATATATATATATATATATATATATATACAGTCAACCCTCACTTTACGTGGTTAATTCAACCCACAGGGTACCGCGGAAAGTGAGAAACGCGTAAAGTGAGAAACGCGTAAAGTGAATAATATAACATATGGGATTAAATGAAATAGAGACCGGCTGACCCCCAAACTCCACTTTTTCCGACACAATACCTATGTTCTAGTAAAAATAACATCTTAATTTTATGATGGTACATGCACACAATTAATACTTAAGAGAAATAGAGAAATACAGTCGCCAAGTTAATGTCCATTCAAATAATGGACTCAACCCCCTCCCCCTCTTCTCACACTACACTCGCTGGCTCTTCCCTCTCTGAGAAATTTTGGGAGGAAAACCACTAGATTTTAAGGTATAGTAATAAATAATACCTCAAGCTAAAGTTAGGATAATATAATTGACATTGCTGGATTCCTTGTAAGACCAGGAATGTTTTGAATATAAATGTCATATATTTTGCACAAAAGATAACATATTTACTCAGAGTAAACATTATATCTAAAATTTGTATGTCTAATGCAAAATCTATGATGTTTATATTCAAAATGATCATCAAATTGTAAGAATTCCAGCAATGAAAATTATATTCTGACTGGGTAATTTGTATGAATTTTATGAGCTAAAACAAATATCTTCAGTTAATAAAAAAAAAATATTCTTCACACCGTGCCAGATGGTCGGTCGGTCCCTCCCTCCCTACCAGATAAATGTGTGGGAAAACCAGACTATTTACCTTTTTAGTAATAAATAATACCTCAGACTAAAGTTAGGATAATATTATTGACATTGCTGGATTCCTTGTAAGACCAGGAATATTTTGAATATAAATGTCATATATTTTGCACAAAAGATAACATAGTTACTCAGAGTAAACATTATATCTAAAATTTGTATGTCTAATGCAAAATCTATGATGTTTATATTCAAAATGATCATCAAATTGTAAGAATTCCAGCAATGTAAATTATATTCTGGCCGGATAATTTGTAAGAATTTTATGAGCTAAATAAAAAAATTATACTTCACCCGCGTAAAGGGGTACACGCACGTGGAATGTGAGCATCCTGGATTCTGGCAGGGCACCGTGGAAACGCGGAATGTGGGACCGCGTAAAGTGAGGGTTGACTGTATGTATATGTATATATATATATATACAGTAATACCCCGCTTAACACGGTTTTGCTTAGCGCAATTTCACGTATACTCGGTGCCTTGCCAGAGCTGAACTTTCACTTAACGCGGGTTTTTTCCACGTATACGCGCAGAGTGTCCGGCTCGAGAGCTATTTTTAGATTCGCCCCAACCCCCACCCGCCACCCTGCCTGCCTGCCTGTTTTAGCTCATAAAATTCATACAAATTACCCGGCCAGAATATAATTTACATTGCTGGAATTCTTACAATATGACGATCATTTTGAATATAAACATCATAGATTTTGCATTAGACATACAAATTTTAGATATAATGTTTACTCTGAGTAAATATGTTATGTTTTGTGCAAAATATATGACATTTGTATTCAAAATATTCCTGGTCTTACAATGAATCCAGCAATGTCAATTATATTATCCTAACTTTAGTTTGAGGTATTATTTATTACTAAAAAGGTAAATATTCTGGTTTTCCTACACATCTGGTAGGGACGGTTGGTGGGGGGTCTGACCGACCATCTGTTACCTTGTGAAGAATATTTTTTTTTTTTATTAACTGAACATATTTGTTTTAGCTCATAAAATTCATACAAATTATCCGGTCAGAATATAATTTACATTGCTGGAATTCTTGTAATTTGATGATCATTTTGAATATAAACATCATAGATTTTGCATTAGACATACAAATTTTAGATGTAATGTTTACTCTGAGTAAATATGTTATCTTTTGTGCAAAATATATGACATTTATATTCAAAATATTCCTGGTCTTACAAGGAATCCAGCAATGTCAATTATATTATCCTAACTTTAATCTGAGGTATTATTTAATACAAAATGTTAAAATTTAGTTTTTTCACCCAACATCTCTTGAAGGGAGGATTGGTGGGGGGTGGGGGGGGGGGAGGGTTGGGACGGACCGACCACCTGGGTGGTTGGAAGAGGGGGGTTGGCAAGGTGGGGTACTTTGACTGACAGATAGTGTTGTGAAGAATATTTTTTTTTTATTAACTGAAGATATTTGTTTTAGCTCATAAAATTCATACAAATTACCCGGCCAGAATATAATTTACATTGCTGGAATTATTACAATTTGGTGATCATTTTGAATATAAACATCATAGATTTTGTATTAATACACAAATTTTAGATATAATGTTTACTCTGAGTAAATATGTTATCTTTTGTGCAAAATATATGACATTTATATTCAAAATATTCCTGGTCTTAAGGCGAATCCAGTAAATAATTGTATTATCCTAACTTTAGTTTTTGAGGCATTATTATTTCAAAAATTTAGTGGTTTTCCAAAATTTCTCTAGAGATAATATCAGCAGTAGTGTGAGAAGAGGCAGGAGTTGAGTCCATTATTACTAACCTGGCTGCACTGTATTTCTATTTCTCTTAAGTATTAATTGTGTGTATGTACCATCATGAAATTAAGATGTTATTTCATGTTATATAGGCATTTGTGTCAAGTGGAGTTTGGGGGTC